GACTAGCAGGAGCACACATCGGCTTTCCTTGGTACCGTTTGCAAATCACACATTTTCTGAGGACTTCCTTGACACTTTTTCTCCCTTTCACAATCCAGCAGTTTGACCGTACTCTTGCCAATGTCGACTCCACTCCGTGGTGCATACTCGCCTTATGCGCGTCCCAAATGACTAATTGTGTGAAATAGCTTTCGTTTCCTCGTAATATCATTGGATGCTGGTCTTGGTATCGCAGATTAGAATTAGCGAACCGTCCCTTTAACCGTAAAAATCCGTCTTTGTCTTCGAACAAATTCAATGAAGCCCAAACGTTAGCAAAATTTGATTGTCCCTTTATCAGAGATTGTTCTTCTTTAATCCACATGTGTAACGCTTGCTCGTATTCGTCAGCCGTTAGAACGTTCTCCGTGATTAAGTTCCCATGGTTCTTCGTTCGTTTTCGCAAATTGTTCAAGAATCTTATCACGTAACCGGTGGTAACAACCAACTTGTTTCATTGTTTGTAATCGTATTTGTGTAGGTAAATATCTATGTTTGTAAATTATTGTTTAGAAACCACGTTTAATACACGTTAAATATATACCGATTTGGATTGTTCGGTTTCTTGGTTATGTGCGTTTCGCTGACGTCCAAAAGAACCGCAGACTGCAACTTACAATCACCGCTTTCCGAAGAAACATACTCGTTTAATTCACTTAAAAGAGTTTTCAAATACGCGTCGAGACCAAGGTGTCTGCCTTTAGCCCTTGCTAATTTTTGCTCCATGACAAATATGAAATATGAGATACCGACTACACAATACACACTGTGGACGCGTTTTAACAATACAACGCTACGTATGACAATTAGACACAAAAAATATATAGAATTTCTAACCTTTACTATATCATAAAACCTATACACTTCAGAACAATGCACAACACCAAAGGGATCTCTCAAAGGAAAGAATTTACCTCTAACCACGATATCGACCAACCGACACGCTCGCGGATGACTCACAGGCTCGTGTTCACTGTAACACTGTCGTCGACTTAAATGCACAATTATTGATACCTCGTATTCCGTATGATGTTCTGCCGTTTCCCATATCGGGCTCCATGTAAAAAGCACTCTCACACTTGCTTTTTATATAGTTATTTTAATATAAAATAACGCAACATGATCGTCTCACCACGTGACAGCTCACGTGATTATAACAGAACCAATAATGTTATTAAAAGTAAATAAATGTGTAATGTAAAACGTCATGCACTAGATTAATGTTTTCTACAACACCCTGTATAGCCTTGCAAAGCTTGCAAATTTTGTATACTTTTGTATTGCGTGCGGAAATTGCTACCATTTTTGGCCCGAATCATGGTGGTATAGCAATTTCTGCACGCAATACAAAAGTATACAAAATTTGCGAACTTTATACAAGGCTATATTTTCCGCATCTTACAACATTTGGCAAACAAAATGTGCATTTTTACTCATTTTAGTATGCTCTTTTCGGGAATATACCTTTTGCCAACATAAAAAAATTAGTCTATAATGGGAATTGTCTATTGAAAGTGTTATTATTTCATTTTGCTGTTGCAGATGTTGCATCTACTTTTTATGCATCTTCTACGGAAGAAATATATAAAGGGCAAATGGGGTTGGAAGAATTAAAAAGGTTTAGTGGACTGAATTTACCGAATAAAGAAATCTGGTTGGATGAATTCTGTCGAATTAGAAAGTCAAAGAATCTCACAATTGAAACTTATTATGCCATGCGTAAGTG